CCCCACCCGTGCCCTGCCCCGCCCCGCCCGGCCTCGCCGCCAACGGCTGCGGGTCTGCGGCAGCCGATACCGCCGGTGGGTTCGGTGTCGGTCTGCGGAGATAAAGGAGGCGGGTGCGGAGCTGGCCCAGTGCCTCCCACGGGGGAGGTGGTGTTTGTGTGGGTGTGTGTGTGCGTGCACTCGGTGGGTGTCAGCTCGGGGTGGGGTGGTCAGTGGGAGCCTGGCCGGTGGCCTGAGCTCCGGCAGCAGCCAGCCCCGAGTCGGGGTCCAGCTCCTGGGGGAGGCTGCCCGGTGCACCGGGGCTGATCCCAGCACGGGAACAGGGCTGCCGCGGGCTCCTTTCCCTGGTGGCTCACGGCCGTGACGGGGCTCTGAGTGTGTCCTGGGGAAGGGACTTTACAGGCCCTGCTGCCTGCGTGGGCTCGGTGCTGCCGGTGTCTCTGGCAGGAGCGCTGCACCTTACACTCACTGGAGATTCCAGCTGCCTTTTCCATCTCTCGGAGTCACCGGGCCTCTGCCACCAATTCCAAGAATCAGAGGGCCCTGGTGTTTCTGACTGACCAACTTAGTTCCTTTTCTGTTTCAAAGGGAGACGCTGGTTTTCACCATGAATTTTGAAGGTCTTGACCCCTCCCTTGCCGAGTATGCTCCCCCCCTCCACGCCGCACTGGACCCTGTCCTGGACCCCCATCTCAACCCCAGCTTGCTGCAGAACGTGGAGCTGGATCCTGAGGGGGTGCCGTTAGAGGGTATCGCCGTGCCAGAGTCGGTGCACCTCATGGAGGGCATGTACAGCGAGCTGCACACCGCCGTCTCTGAAGTGGGGGTGCCCGTCTCTGTCTCCCATTTTGACCTGCATGAAGAAATGCTGTGGGTTGGGAACCATGGGGTAGGTGCCTGCTCTGGGAGCGGGGCAGGGAGGGTCACTGCCCGAGCCAGGCTGTCTGTGCTGCTCTCGCAGCCCAACACCTGCCTGCTGCGACCAGCTGGGGGCAAGCTGGCTGTGGGTGGAGAGAGGTTCAGCATTGGGCCGAGCTGGAGGGTCCTGCTCAAACTAGGGTTGTGCTGCACCGGTGCAGAGCTTCTGCCTGGAGGTGGTTGATGTGTCTTGGAGCATGAGCCTCTTGGTGTTCCCCAAGTAACTTTACTGTCCTGGTGTGTGGTGCTGCTGGAGCTTTCGGTTCATTACTTGTGTCTGTATGTATCTGCCTGAAAAGGAAAAACCTGAGCAGTCTTCCGCAGTTTGGGGCACACGGGGGGCAGGAAGCCCCCCACCCCGTAGGCTGGCTGAGGCCATAAGGCAGCCGATGGCTTGTCTCTGCCAGGGAGCTGGCACAGGGCAAAGCAGCATTTGCCTGTGTCACATCCAAGTGAGGCTGGGGCAGGTCTTGACAAGCCTGTCCCTGGCTGGTTTTAGGGCCACGCCACCTCTTTCTTCGGCCCGACGCTGGAGCGATACTCCTCCTTCCAAGTGAACAGCAGTGATGACATCCGCCAGATCCAGAGCCTGGAGAACGGTGTCCTTTTTCTGACCAAAACCAACCTGAAGTACATGTCCCGGGGGGGCCTCATCATTTTTGACTACCTGTGAGTGCCTTCCCCTGGCAGCAGGCGGGTCGTGCGGGCCCCATGAGGTGCCCCTGTGCTGGGGGAGATGGTCCCAGCCCCTCTGCTGGCTGTGTAAAGGCTAGATGTGGGAGAGGGCAAGGGCAGATCCTCCACCCCCTTCCCCACTGCCTCCCTGAGCTGGGCAGGAGTGTGAGGGCTGTCCTCTCCTACAGCATGGACGAGTCTGAGGACATGCACAGTCTCCTGCTGACGGACAGCAGCACGCTGCTCGTTGGTGGGCTGCAGAACCACGTCATTGAGATAGACCTCAACACAGTCCAGGAGACTCAGAAGGTACAGCCGGGCTGGGGGCTGCACCCTGCTGTGGGGAGGTGCTTTGTTCTGGGACTCAACCCTGCTCACCCCACTCTTCTGCCTCCTTCCCAGTACACTGTGGAGGTTCCTGGCATCACCATCATGAGGCAATCAAACCGCTTCTTTTTCTGTGGGCACACCTCAGGGAAGGTAATGCCAGCCCCATCCTACCTGGCAGCCCTGCTGATGCTCGGCTTCTGTCTGGGGTACCCTGGAGTTGGTGTTAAGCTTTTCCCAGAGCTCAAGGGGCTCCCGAGTAGCTGGCAGCTGCCTGCGTGGCATCCAGCACCTCCATCTTGCCCTCCCAGGTCTCCCTGCGTGATCTGCGCACATTTGTGGTAGAGCATGAATTTGATGCGTACTCGGGCAGCTTGTCTGATTTTGATGTCCACGGGAACCTGCTGGTGACCTGCGGCTTCTCCAGCCGAATGAACGGCCTCGCCTGCGACCGCTTCCTGAAGGTGTATGACCTGCGCATGATGCGGGCCACCACCCCGCTGCAGGTCCACATCGACCCCTTCTTCCTCCGCTTCATCCCCACCTACACCTCCCGCCTGGCCATCATCTCCCAGACAGGTGGGCAAAGCCGCATCTCCCGCCTGGCTGGGCTCTGCTCCCCTGGCGAGAGTGGGGCAATGGTCCCAGCATCCCCCAGGCTCAGGGTCAAATTCCAGTGGGATAGAGTTGGCCGAGTGCTCTCGACCTGTGCCCAGCCAGTTCAAATGGCCCTGTAAGCGAGAGGTGTGCTGGGTCACTGTGTGCTGTCTGCCCACATGCTCCCTGGTGCCACTTTGCTCCGCGCTTCCCTCTCACGCAGGTCAGTGCCAGTTCTGCGAGCCCACTGGCCTCGCCAACCCCGCTGACATCTTCCACGTGAACACCGTTGGGCCCCTGATCATGACCTTTGACGTCTCGGCCAGCAAGCAGGCCCTGGCCTTCGGCGACTCAGAGGGGTGCGTCCACCTCTGGGCCGACTCCCCAGAGGTCACCTTCAATGCCTACTCCCGGGAGACCGACTTTGCCTTGCCCTGCATCGTGGACACGCTGCCCCACTTGGACTGGAACCAGGACCTTGTGCCACTCTCGCTCATCCCTGTGCCGCTGACCAGCGACACCCTGCTCTCCGACTGGCCTGCTGCCAACTCTGCCCCGGCACCCCG